TTGAATCGCTTTTGTTTGATGAGAGTGATATAAATTTTTTCATTAACTTTAATTGAATAATCGTCTGAATCTATAAAAGCTAAATCTCAAAAAGTCATTATTTTCCGCTCTAATTTCTGACGAGGACACTTTGTATACTTTTAATGTCAATTCAACGAACCCTATTTATTCACAACCGTTTACTACATTGTATACAAATATTATGTCTTGACTATGATCTTGCCTCACCGGGAATTGAACCCGGGACCGCGTAGCCGACGCCGACTAATGAACGAAAATTGATGTGAGTGCCGGGCCGCTACCCTTCTCGACCTTTGGTGGGTTAATCAAGAATCGAATGTCATTTATAATGGGAATTTCTGACAGAGATCCTTCAGAATTACCCAATTGATTTTGCAAAAAATAATTTTTAAAAGACGTAAGTTGTGGTAAATGTTTTCGTGGCTCAGAATTACCAAATACTGAACATTAGAAAATTACCCTTCTATACAACACATTACATCTTTTTAATTCGCAATAAAGCTGAAATAATCTCGTAGAAAAATATACACACGTGAGTTCATTAGCAGGCTTTTATTTTCGGGACACTATGCATGGGAGATAAGTGGGTACTGATAACATGTTATCTTTGCCGCGTAAAGGTCTTCGAAAGAGACTGGCAAAATAACCACCAACCAATCACTCTCTAAAGCTGTTGTGTACGTGACTCCGACACACCTCAGTAACTCGTAAGAGGAGCGAAGTCTTTTTGGCATTCAGCTGTTTTTTACTATTGTTCGTTATCAAATCGAACCACCTAGCACTCGAAAATGTGTATTAGTTATCTCTATCTTAATGAAAGGCAGTGTTAATGAAATGACTCTCAATTCTCAATGAAAGCAGAGGTGTGGCTGAGGAGGCAACCAATGAAATCAGTAGATAGCAGAATTAAAATACTAGAGATAACTCGCCCACAAAGTCATCGCACTGCAGTCTAGTACACTTTCTTCTTCTTGTAAACAGCTACACTCCAACATTTTGGAACTTCAATTTGAAAGTCAATCGAAATGTATATAACATACTCCTAATGTATTGTAAAATAAATAAAAATAGTTTCAGAATTGTATCGCCCACTCTTCAAAAAAGTTAGAGAAAGTAATTCACTACATATGGAAACAAGGTTTACACACTTTTAAGACCCGAAAGTTGCACTTTTGTGACCAAAATTTACCGTTTCTTTTCAATAAGCATTACAATACTTTCTCTACACTCTGTGTGCGAAAAAAGTAAAAGTAAATAAATCTTATTCTTCTATGCACTTAATTACTTCCTCTTGCACTTTGTATAATTAAAATACATGTTTTGTGCGTCCTTGATACAGAAAAAGTGATATACTGCAAAAAGTCTCCATTACTCCCTCTTTCATGCCAACTAGCGCACAAACCGTTAAGACGATTTTCTCCAAAATTGACATTCCTCGATCCTTTTGAAGGAACTTGAAGCCCTGCAAGTTTGAAATTCGTTTGATTTTTGAAAACATGAAAACTCAACTCAATTTATCAAATTTTCTGAAAAATGGGTCCACATTTTTTATTTAACTTAGTCCATGAATCGCGTAAATGACGTTTCAAAGAATGGATCAGAACTTATCTTCGTTGAAATACCTAATTTTTTGAAAATTGAAAAGTTTGAATTGAAAATAATTTTTTCGATGTCATCCTACAACTACAATATTAAAGATACCGATTTTTTCCTTGCTGCAATCTTTTGTACATAAACAGCTCTTGAAATAACATCATGTACTTTTATCGAAAATATGAGTGGTCTCGTTATTATACTAAAAAGACAATTTTTAAATAATTATTTTCTCAAAAAATGCTCTATTTTTTTAAACTTTCCTACTCGTATATATTTTAGAACGGTAAATATGGCGTAATTTTTTTCACACCGCCTTAACAAAGCGCAGGAAATTCGAACTTAACTATTTCGATTTTTCCTCACTTTTTGAAAATTAGGTAGTGCGTCAAACATGGGGCCAGTACCACCTTTTTTTAAATTTCTTTACTACATACGTGAAAAAATATTAAAAAATGAAGCCTTTTTTGAGAAAATAATTGTTTACAATTTTTAAAATGCCCATTATTGACGCAAAATTTGGGAAATGGCCCAGGGGCTACATGCAAAGCGCCCCTCAAAATTCAAATATCTGTTTCAAATTCAAGGGCTGCGACATCAGCTAGATCGGTTGGGGAATATCAGTTTTGGAGAAAATCGGCCGCTAGTGTTGTTCACAGACAGAAGCTCTGTATTCAATATTTTAACTGAATGAAAAGGCAGGAAATTTTTGAACTTTTGCAAATTTCGAAAAATTAGGAATTTCAACGAAAATGAGACTTGAACCACTCTCTTTAGACTCCTTTACGCTATTCGAGGCAAAGGTTTATTAAAAAAATGTGAAGCAATTTTTGAGAAAATTTTGAAAAGTATTGAGACTTCTCGTAAAATACCCCATAATCAAAATATCCGTTTCAAATAGAGGGCCGCGAGTTTTTTTTAAATGATCGAGGAATATCAATTTTGAAGAAAATGGGCTAAATGCTTTTGGCGCTAGCTATGTCCACAGACACAGACAGACATTTTGCTGTGAATCTATTTTTGGGTATCAAAAATCAACGAAACATGGTTTCTGACTAAACAACGAGTTAGAGGAAGTAATTTACTATATATAGGAATAAGATTTATCAATTGTTTTTTATCCGTGCCTGGCAATATAGGTTTTGGTTCGAACATTAGCCTTCCGGCGCACAATTATTATACTTTTTTCTTGCAAAGTAAGGCCAAGAAAATAAAAAAATGAAATTAAGAGACCTGGAAAACATTTTTTTAATTTTCCATTTTTTAATTCAATACGTAAATTCAGAAATAAGATCGTTAATCCATAATTCAAGATTGAGTTTTTGTTATCCAATGGCCTTTGTAGGCTATTTACTTACGTGTCTGTTGTCGGTGAAATGGCTCTCTATTACAGCCCTGTAATAAAGTATAACCCTATAATCAAGTAGCTATCAATTGACACGATAAACAATAGCGAAACTGCTACCGGCGAACTGAACAATACGATGTGCACAAAATCATTTTTTATTGAAAAATAAAGAATTATACATAGAAACACGTTTATACTTAATACTTTAGTAATACCTATAACACATTTACTCACAATACTCATCAAATTAAAAAGTATAATAAACACTTTTGTACATAATTCGTATACCCACTTGCATTAAGTATTGGTGCTTTCACTGCAAAATCAACTTATATACTTTATCGCAGATGTTCTTAATAGTTGTAATATTAATATTCTTTCCTCCACTCCTTGAAACTTTCGCAATCCTTATTTTATTACAATATCTTTAAATTTAAGGTGCAGTAAATCTTTCACAGCTTTCGCAGCTTCACGTTTAATACTTTTAGGAATATAGTCAGACATCGATTGGAAAACTTAATTAAACTCTCCATGGTTTCCGATGTACCTCCGAAATCAATATAATGCTATACGCGCATATGTGCTCGTGAATACTCGTCTACATTACACGTAATGATCTGCTTCAGCTATTTATAGAATAAAATACTAATCTTGTAAATAAAAGTGGTTATGTGTGTGTGTGATTCGAAGACAACTCTGTTTTGTTTTCTCAGTATTCATTTGGAAGTGAGGATACATGGACGAGGAGTGGGATTACAGAAAAAAGAATTGAATATCATATCCTCTATTCGACGTTCACAGATTCAAGGCGTGAAAAAGATACAGTAAGTATCTCGGACATTCATAAAAACAGTGTGTAAGTTATTCATAATTGGAGACTCCTATTATGACCGGATAATTAAGTACAGCATTTATCTCACTCTTTTCAGTCGATGGAGCTGCAAACTCCTTTTTTGGGAGCGCACCAGCCTACATTGGTTTAATGTACTGTTAGCGTATTAGTACAAAGATTGTAATATAATATTATCCCCGGAAAATTAAATAAATAATTAATCATATCACGTATCAACTTTAATATAAAGTATTGTAATACATTGTACATACAAGGATTGTAAAAATACCTCAGAAACAACAATGTAGGTTGTCAAGCTAGTTGGAGAACGGAGCCTAGCAAAATTTGCGTAGACGGAAGAGCAGGTCTCGTGGTCTGAGTCTCGCTCCATAAAATAATGCATCAATTCAATTCATATCACGTTGTTCTTCCAAGAAGTTGAGTTACAGAGGATAAAAAACCACCAAGTCTAGTCTTTCACATATACCGACTGAGGTGGTTCAGAGCATAAGCAGTGCCTATGAGCGGGAGGTCATAGGGAGGGAGGGCTAGACTCCTAGGACGGATGCAGCCGCTGTCAGGAGGAGAATTCTAGCGGCCGGATTCTTTGATCGGTAATTTTACTTGATTTGTCCGATCAACACCACGCGAATGTCCGAGCAGGACCCTAACAAAAGGGCCACGGACCGCGCAATCTTTCTTCCTTTTCCTTGTCTTATCCTCAGTCCTTACTTACACACACACTTACACTTGCATGCACTGCACTACCCCACATGTCGGAAGCTAGTTTGTCCCGGCAGGGTTGGTGCCCCACTGGTGTGTGTTACCTGGATGGAGAAGTCCGGGTGTAAATAAATCGGCGCCGCATCTCACCATCCAGCGGATGAGATCCACTGCTACATCCCTTAATAACATGCACTACACATACGGGGCTAATGACAATAGCAGATGACGCTCCCCGGAAAATTAAATAAATAATTAATCATATCACGTATCAACTTTAATATAAAGTATTGTAATACATTGTACATACAAGGATTGTAAAAATACCTCAGAAACAACAAACAATGTAGGTTGTCAAGCTAGTTGGAGAACGGAGCCTAGCAAAATTTGCGTAGACGGAAGAGCAGGTCTCGTGGTCTGAGTCTCGCTCCATAAAATAATGCATTAATTCAATTCATATCACGTTGTTCTTCCAAGAAGTTGAGTTACAGAGGATAAAAAACTACCAAGTCTAGTCTTTCTTACAATTCAATGATGTCTTATATTATGTGGGGAGGATCAGGCCTTCGGGCCTGTTTTCCATCTGACCATGTAAATTTTGTTGCATTCCTTTTACCATCAAGCGGCGAAAGAAGGCATTACCGGGACGAGGAAACAGGGGATTAGAATTTAGCTCAGAGTAGTAGTAGCTCAGTAAATCTGCAGCATGGGATAGCCGGTTTCACTCCCATTCCGAAGGAAGTCCTATGAAGGATTTGTTCTCCCTTAAAAACCCATGTTTTGATTGAATTTCAGCCCGCCATCTTTGATGTAACAATTCTATACACTAATCAGCCCACAACCAAAGCATTTTAAGAATGTTGTTAGTTCACTACATATGTTATGTAGTACATGTTATCACTAAGTTTTCTCCAACGTAATGCGAAACGGACCGCTCTAACTTGATGCAAAAAATATTCTATAAATCAATCAAAATAATTCACTTTTACTTTAACACACGTTTACGAATATGATAGTACAAAGTGCAATTTTGTTTTACGTTTTGGAGTGCGTATAGTTTAAATTCAGTTAATCTTTTCTCTGAAAACGGTGTCCATCAATATACATTCATTCATACGATATACCAAAAAGTGAGAATGTGGTGGAATGAAGACCAAATAAATATGATAATTTTTCCAGTGTAAAATTCGTATCGTGCTTCTTTAAGTGTGCTGTAGTGTTTCAAATATGAATCCTGGTTTGATTTGGAGATATTTTATTACAAATTCCGTTTTAATGTGGTGAAAATTAAGATAAGCAAGTTTAAAGTTGTAGTTGTCGAATTGAGCCTCCCTAAATAGTATCTGGTACAAAAGTTGAACATTGGGGGAAAAGACAAACTTAGTTTCAAACAGCTATACTTTAAGGAATTCATATCGTTTTGTTTCTAACTATAAAATTTGTTTTGTTGTATATGCTTGATTTTTAGTAATACATGCAACGCTTGGAACAGAGAAGAATTTGCCACTCTGTTCAATACAACTTGATCGGTGCATAAATACCCAAATTCGTAATAGCATACTAAATGAATCAATAAAGCGCACTTCAGACTACATCAATTATTTTGTACAAACATAATTGGCAACGTCGTATTATTTATGTTCAGGAAGATGATACGACACATACACAGGTGTCTCAGTATTTATTTGAGGAATATCGTAATTTAGAAGATGCTTGTGAATTACGATAGTTACTAATTAGGAAACAGATAAATTAGTAAGGAAACATGAATAAAAACATCATAGACAAGTGCGCTGCCTTGAAGGACCATAAGTTCGATTGGGTATACAAGAAATCAGTGATTTAAATAATTACGATAACAATGTGTAAATTTATATTTTCCTAATAGCTCTTCAGCTGTCTTCACAGCCACGAATCGCCACTGATTGTGGAAGGTCGTTGTACCACTCTTCTTTTGTTGTGTGCGCGTGCATGTGAGAGTATGGGTGTTGTGGTAACTGGCAATGAGTTGTGTTGTGGCATAAAACAATGTGGTATACGCAGCAATAATAATAAAATAACAGCACGAGTTGTAGCGAAAGACAATTCGCGTGCTCTCCTGGAAAAATGTCCTTTCAAGAGTAAATACTTGGCTGTCCAGGAGACGTCATGTCGTAGGCACAGGTGCCGAAGTTTCGGCCGCCATTCTGCAGCCTTCCTCAGGTCAAAATTTCGCGGCGGCTTCCAGACAGCCACGTATTTACTGTCTCCGTCCGCACAGGTCTACGCTCTCCTCTCAAGAGTGTTGTTCCTCGTCGTCCCTGGGCCCGTAGAAGATAGCCTGGATCTCCATGTGCGTCCAGGTGGCGTCCTTGAATGGGCGCTGCCCGTCCTCCAGGGCGAAGTCTGCGTAGCGGCGCGTCTCCAGCACCTGCGAGTAGAGATGGGTATTAACAGCGCTTCTTCAAAAACTGTTATCGGAATAGGTCGACTCGTAATAACGGTTATTAATAACAGTTGAAAAAAACCGCGACCATGATCAACAACCTAACATGGTCGACTGCTGAGAGTTAAACCAGGCAATACGATTAACGTTGGAAGCACCTCCGGCGCTTGCTTGCACTTCTTATCCAAACATGTTTCGACAGAGAAACAGCTGATATGAGTGACCGTGTATGAACGGCGAAGGAAAAATAGTAAGTGATACGATGAGTAGTAAATGTGTATGGAATATTATTAAAATGACTGTGATACGTGATTCGGGTTCAGATAGCAAACATTCTTTCGAATAGGCAACTTGTGGATAGTGTATACAATAACATATAAGAATATTGTTGCACGTGTAATAATGACGAATTATGTATTAATGAATCTATTATTTGAAAACTTGTTATTAACGAATAACTAACTACAGTAAAATTGTTATCGTACAAAATTATTGCCGCGAAAGCTTGTAGTTCCGATTGGGCCCAATAGAATACAGTACTACAAATTTCAACTGATAACATCCTAAACGAAGTAACTGTTATTGTGAATAACAGTTACGAAATGTTAAATGTCAATAAAATGACAACCGGAAGAGATGGTTCAGGGCATCAACTGATGTCACTACAATCCCTGTGACCGGGAGGCCCTAGGTTCGAGTGCCGACGGTGACAGGATTTTTGACGCTAGCTTGTCAGCTCGGTCGAATTCAGTCGCTGTGTGGAGGAGAATTCTAGCGACCGGCTGCTCTGATCGGAAGTTTTCAGTGGTTTCTCCGATCAATACCAGCTGAGAATGTCCTAACAAACAGAACAGGGATCACGCCCTTGTTCGTATCCTCATTCTCCCATTCTTTGTCCTGTCCTCACCCCTTACACACACTTACACTACCACACACGCCTGTAGCCCAGTCGGCAACTTAGAGCTTGTCCCGGCTGAGGCGGTGCCCCGCTGTTGGGAGATATCTGGTTGGGAAAACCCGGCTAGCCAACGGTAGGTCGTCACCTGATCTCTCCATTCAGCGAGAGATCACCGTTTCCTCCCGCCATAAAACACGCACTACGCTTTCGGGACTAATGACCTTAGTAGTCGACGCGCCCGCTTTCACTTCCAGTCCGGAAGTAAAGGGTCAAGCCGCACCTGGAAGCCCGCGCGCCGCGCCTGCTTCTGCGACTGCGCGCCCGAGAAGGCGGTGACGCTGAGCGGGATGCGCAGCGCCGCGCAGAGCGGCCTGCGCGCCTGCAGCAGGCGCAGCCCGACGCCCTGGCCGCGGAAGGGCGGCGCCACCGACAGCCCCAGCCCCACCAGGTAGCTGCGCACGCCGAAGCGCCGGAACACGTCGGCCGCCGCCAGCATCTCGTTCATCAGCAGGAACATGGGGCGCGTCTTCTCGCCCTCCATCTGCGCACGCCCAAGACAGCACATAACCGCCTAGCGTATGGTATGGGTGAGCGATTTATTTTATACTACGTCGCATTTCGGTTGATTACGTGCCTCAATGTGGGCGTATGTAAATTGGGGACCAAATAATTCCTCCATCCTTTCTCTCTCAGAGACGTAATTCTACATGTAAATTGGGGACCAAATAATTTCTTCATTCTTTCTCTCCCAAAGACGTAATTCTACATGTAAAATGGGAACCAAATAATTCCTTCATCCTTTCTCTCTCAGAGAGGTAATTCTACATGTAAATTGGGGACCAAATAATTCCTTCATCCTTTCTCTCTCAAAGACGTAATTCTACATGTAAATTGGGGACCAAATAATTCCTTCGCCTTTCTCTTTCAGAGACGTAATTCTACATGTAAATTGGGGACCAAATAATTCTTTCATCCTTTCTCTCTCAAAGACGTAATTCTAGACGTAAATCGGGGACCAAATAATTCCTTCATTCTTTCTCTCGCAATGACGTAATTCTACACGTAAATCGGGGACCAAATAATTCCTTCATCCATTCTCACTCAGAGACGTAATTCTACTTGTAAAATGGGAACCAAGTAATTCCTTCATCCTTTCTCTCTCAGAGAGGTAATTCTACGTGTAAATTGGGGACCAAATAATTCCTTCATCCTTTCTCTCTCAGAGAGGTAATTCTGCATGTAAATTGGGGACCAAATAATTCCTTCGCCTTTCTCTTTCAGAGACGTATTTCTACATGTAAATTGGGAACCAAATAATTCCTTCATTCTTTCTCTCCCAAAGACGTAATTCTACATGTAAATTGGGGACCAAATAAATCCTTCGCCTTTCTCTTTCAGATACGTAATTCTACATGTAAATTGGGGACCAAATAATTCCGTCATCCTTTCTCCTTGAGACGTAATTCTACATGTAAATTGGGGACCAAATAATGCCTTCATCCGTTCTCTCTCAGAGATGTAATTCTAAATGTAAATTGCGGACCAAACCGACCCAGATAAGAATAGAGACTTATTGAGCAGATAAGCGTGTTAGGGATCCGCCGCTGTGCTGCGGTCCAACTTTGCCTTGTGCCTTATTGAAAATCTTCCAGGCTCGTTCCTATATCGAAATCAAATGCAAAGAATACACTAGAAGTGTGTTCAAATTTAATGTTCAGCGTTATAGAATATTAGCTAAAAAAGAATATGAAAAGGCAGATAAACATAATTAGTTCAATCAACGAATGATTAAATTGAATAAAAACCAAATTTAGCCAAACCATATTTTAAAAGAAATATTCCAGTCCTAAGCCTCGAATTTTGGGAAAGGAGTTGTGTTTTAAAAATAATGGCTTTGAAAGTGTTCATCGAAAATTAGCGTCCCCTTCCACTTTTACCTGGGAGGGGAAGAAGTAGTCGGTCCCCAATATATGTATTTCCTTCTCTGGGCCGGTCCCCAATTTACGTATGAGTTAAACTCTTATTTTCCTTCTGGGCCCCAATTTACATACGCCGCTCAAAGCTGGCCGTAAAAAACGAACTTATGGTACAGTGAATAACGAAATCTCATACGAACTTACGAACTAGTAAATTTTGTACCAAAGTTTCTGTTTTTTTAAAAATATATGGCCAGCACCAACGATGTAGTTGATTACAATAATGAGACGTAAACGTACAAACATTAATGAAAAATGTAGATAACAGTACCATATGATGACAAAGTTTTAAAATGTCTGGTAAGTAAGCCAAAATTACATTCTCATTGACATTGTTAATATTATTTGTGTTTTCTAAAAAAAATCATATCCTTTTTTATATCTTTCATCAAATTTCTGAGGTATTAATTATTCAGTTGCTTCGTATAATCTATTATCGTTTTCCTAAGTATTACTTTCAATTCCGTTTTAAAATGTGCAGAGCACTGCAATTGTTTCACAGACTTCAAGATTCCAGGGGATTGTGGCGCTGCGGGTAATTTTTTTTTGCCACATGTACATTGTGAAATATTGCAATACGAAATTAAAATAAAATTAAGGAAATGCGACATAGTATGAAATAAAACGTGTTATGACACACGTGCGGAAATGCTTCATTACTCGTTAGAAATTCCAGCCTCGGCTCCTCACGTTACCTCGGCTAGAAACATCTCACTTGTAACATTTTCTACCCAATTACTATTATGTGCACAGATTATGGAGAAGTAATTTATGAAATTAGTGGAAATCCGTGCGATTAAATCGCACGGAAAGTTTAAAGCCAAATCTTTTACTGGTCTGGGTAATTATTTATTTTATTCATAAGGTCAAAAATATTTCTTAATTGTCTATAGTATATTGGCCAATAATTGTCAATAATGTGTATCCACTCCGCTACTAGCAGTTGGAGTAGTTTATAATACGGCTCAAAGAATGTGATGTGCAAATCTAAATGCTAGCTGTTGTTTGTATGTGCCATATTGCAGATACTTCGATTCATTTATGCAAGGCCATTGATTCGTTTATGTTTCGCACGTAACAGTTCTATGCAATGAGTGTCCTGCTCTGCCCTAGCCTGCTCAAACCCACACTGCACCTGGCCACCGTCCTCCCCCGGTGCTGCCCAGCCTGTCACCGACTGTGCTTTTAGTGCGCCTTACCGTCAGGTTGTGCGTATGTCGACATTTCATTTTCTCCCTTCCCTTATATTGTTTATGTAACAGACACAATGTCTGTTCAGTCATGTGAACAATTTTGGCCAACGGACAAACCCAAATGGGGCGTGGACGGTTCCACCAACTGGAGAATGTTCGCTTGATGCCAATGTAATTTTGTGCCAAAACATAACATTTTAATACTTCGTTTTTAAGAAATAGTTTTACATCCATAATTACGTAATTAAAAATGTATACTACGTGTTTAATTATAAAGGTGATGAACGTAAACAACGGGCTCCTTGAAATTTTGTATCTATAACCTATCTGTTTACTTCCGTTTGATGACAATTAACACGCAAACACAGATACTTTGATCTGACATTATTTGTATCTATTCTTACAATATTCTTTTTAGTGACGATAAATGCAAACCACTTGTGAAAAATATTGGTCCAGTCAAATGGTGCACAAAAGGGGCAAATAGAGGAAAGTTTTGGTGTAGTATTGATACTTCATTTATTGATTTTCAGATCGCTGAGCACGAATATCAGATTAAACAACAAGAATTGCCTCTGGACATTTTTTTAAGCAAAAATTTGTACAAAATACTTTTTTCGGTTTTTTGAACAACTGAAAAGCCAACCATTTTCATAAATAATGACCCTATGTGACATAAAATATTTAATTACCTATAATATTTTATGCTGTTCTTAGCGACATAAAAGATCTAGAGATCTTGCGTATACTGTTTGACAACTCAATGTTGGGCCGAGATGTGTTACTTGTCGATCGTGAAAGTTCCTTGCATTCGTGCGAGAACAAAGTGTGCCTAGCGCACACGCCCTATCGAGATTAGCACCCCCTCAATGTAAGAATAGGTTAAGTTTAGATTTAAGGATTTCTTCTAGTAAATACAGAATTTCAAAATCACCACAAAGTTTTTCACTATGATATAGTACGGTCTGATTTCACGCATGTTTTTTTAATTCTCCCCACTCCCCGTCATTTGCCTGGTGTTGATCGGGAAAAGTACGGAAATCTACCGATCAGAGTAGCCGGCCGCTAGAATTCTCCTCCAGACAGCGGCTAAATTCGACTTGGCTCTGCAGCTAGTGTCGAGAATCCTGCCACCGTCAGGAGTGGAACCCTAGGTCGTCCGGGTCAGATCTCTGCAGGGACATCAATTGAGGCCCTGAGTCACCTAAGTCAGTCCTGAACTTGGGGAGAGTCGGGTCTACGTATGGCAAGTATAGAGATATTACTATTTAAGTATGGACCTCTTCGTCAGCTACTACTTGGTAACATAACTGCAGGTCATATTCATGAAACCATTTTGTCAGTGCATTCGTTTACACTTTTCTCATTCGTAAATGCCTTCATCACTATCTCTCGCTATGTCATTGTTTTGTATGACGTTCATTTGTTTCCCGGCGTGTGAGAGTGGTCCCTTCTTAGAGCAACTCCTCTGTACCAGAGGCCGGCGTGCAGGAGCGCTGCGGGACTCACCATCATGGGCGGGTCGGTGCTGCGCACGACGCCCAGCAGGTTGAGCGCGGCGAGCGAGGGCCGGTGGGCGCCGTGCGGCCAGTCGCTGAAGGCGGCCAGCGACACGCGCGTGCCGCCCACCGCCTCGCGCCACATGCCCTCCAGGTCCGCCGCGGAGCGCGGGTCGTCGGCGGCGCGCGTCGCCAGCGCCATCTGCTCCTCGCGCACGTAGTGCTGCTTCATGTGCGCCACCACGGCCTCCTCCAGGTCGGGCGTGAGGTCGCGGATCCAGAAGGTGGCCGTGCGCCCGTCCGGCATCGGCTTCAGGCCCTGCGGCATCGCGTTGGATAGAGGCAACGTCTTCTAAACGCAACTACGCGCTGTAAAATAACACAAATTAGACAAAATAATATTTATTATTAACTTTTTACTGTGCTGGTGACAAATACTAATGTAATTTTGCTGGTAGGGTCTCAGAGACTCAAGATACAAAATAATTCGCTGAATGCAATATTTTTCAAAGGAAAGAAAATTTAATATAAATTAGTATTATGATATATATCGTTAAAAGTAAATAAATTAAATATAAACAAAATTGAATCAATATTGATAAGCAAACTCGTGCAAAACAAGATTATTAAAATGTTATTTACTTTCAGAAGCAGAACAATTAAAACAAAGTTCGATTGTTTGTTGCAGTAAATGCAAAGATGTTTGGTCTTTTTGTCCAAATCGTTCGGACAATCTTCACAGAGTGAGTTTTTGGTCCTCTCTAAATCTGCTGATTGTGGTCTAACCACGGGTTGATACGAAGACCAGTGGTTAGGTTTCAGGAGAACCTGATGGCTTGGATGATCCGAAAAGTCTGAAAGTTTCACCGCATGGGCTGCTCGTATAAAGGTAGTTCGCCGGCGTCCGACAGGAGGCACTCAAAGCGGCGCTAGTGCCCACGCGAGAGGCGCTAGTGCACACGTGAATGCCAGAATTGCGCCTGCTATTCAAGGGGTAAACGGTTGATATGGAAATCGGTCCATAAACAATACAACTATAATCCAATACTGTGCGAACGAGTGTTCTAACAGCTGTAGAAATCAAATCCGGTCTGCTTCCTCCATGAACTCGCCCTAAGCGTATTAAAGAGGTTGAGACAAGAACTACACCTGCCCTCAAGGTACAAATGTTGTTGCGCCACGTCAGAGATCTGTTGCAGCTGAGTCCCAGGTGTCAGTGTCAGCATCTAGGAAAAGTTCCCAGAGACAAAAGAAAAATAGGTGTTGAGACCTATGTTCAACAGAATGAGATTGTAATTCTCCAGGACTATTTTCACAATGGTTCCCCTCTGACAATTTCAGGGGGAACTCCTTGGATGATTGTGGACGTTGAAGTTACCAACGATGATGAATGGTTGTGGAAGTTGAGATATTACATTTGGAATGTTTTTGTCCGATGATGCTTGACCGGTCGGAATGTTAATTTTGTGAACTAAGAATGAGATGGATGACGTTGACACACACGATTTGGAGGCTGAACTGAACCGTTATTTCTTGACAAAAGAGATGATCACGGACCAACAAGACAACAACACCAATGGCGAGTAATCATCAGCATCGAATCTGAAACTGTGAAAACCTCCGAGGGACAGAGTATGCCTCGACAAAAGAGACGTTTCCCGCAAACACATAATAGAGAGGGAATAGCGGGATAGAATTAATGGAAGGTCTTCCGAATGGGCGCATAAACCATTTGGATATCGCGATAATACTCATTAGGAGTTTTATGTTTTGTGCCTTCGTTCGTCTCCGGTGTTCGAAGCATCCTTTGCAGCGGAATTCTCCTGACCGCTGCGAGAGCCACCCCATGTGTTTGACTCTCTCCATTTTGTGCGAGTAGTAGGTCCTTAATGTGGGCGCTTACGTGGCCCTGGGAGTAACGGTCGCCTGCCAAAATACGCTTCCGGAGCAGACTGGGTCGAAGCTTTTTGTGCGGCTTGTTTTTTTATATTTATATTGAGCAATAATCTTATCCGTTGACGGTGTTTCTGTAGGAGAACCAAAGGGTGATACCTAGAACTCGTCGTTAGCCATTGAAGGGGTAGCATGGATCGTTTGGATGTTCACTGCCTTAGGCTGATTTGACACATTAGAAAACGTTTGCGACATATCCCAGGGATGTTTTGCCTGGTTATCTCCTTCCTGCTTCCGGAAACGAAACTCTGCTTGTCACTCTGGTCTTTTGGATTTTCTCTCGAAGAACATAGGAAACTGGTTCTGATTTTGCCGCATGATCACCTCTACAGATGACGCAAATGGGGTGGTGGGATCAGGTTGAATCCATAGCGACAGTTCGACAAATTTGACGCATAAAGGATTGACTGTCAAGCACATTTAGCACTGAATGGCACAGTGCAGCGTATTTGGCATGTACTGGCGCACTCGAAGGTTGTGAAAACCGCAAAAGATTCTTTCCGGAACCGAACGGGGTTCCGGAAAAAAAGAATGGTTTTAGTTCATCTTCATTTTCTGCCGTGAAATCATCGTGAAACATGACAGATCTAACCAAATTGAGGCTAGGATGAGTAGACACCTTGGATGAAGGCACTCTCTTTAGTTTTCAGCTTGGCTATCCGTAAGGGCTTCGAAGAGATTGGAACCATTCTTCTGATTTTTTTGTACAATGTAGAAATAAATACGTTTCCATCTTTATTGATGACTGTTAGACATTTTTACATATCAGAGAAGTAAAAATAAATATCATCATACGTTGTCTATTCGTCCTTTCCATGTTCATGAGTGTTCTTCCACCACACGCTCGTGGCTTTCCCTGAGAGGTTCGTATCTGCAGTCAATTGTTCGCTTTCGATCTTTTCAATATTCTTTTCATATTCTCATTAAATGATCAGATCACGAAGAGAGGTATATGGATTTACTAAGCACATACAAAACGAAAAGGGTTCAGTGGTAACAAAAGGCTTGGAAGACAAAAGGCTTACCTCGAAGCGGTCCCATTCGCGCGGGTAGGGTCCCGAGTCCTCGGGCCGACGCCAGCCTCCATCAGAAACACCGTCGCTCGCCATCTTCCCCTGCGAACATCGAAACCTTTTCGCTATTTACGGGGGGTAATAGGCCTTCTCTTCGTAATGTTAAAATGGCTTAGGTAGCCCAGGGCATCCATCAATTGATAAATTCTCGGCTATCCGGGAGACGCCGCGGCGATGGCTGGGAGGCCGACGTTTCGCCTGACATGTCGCAGGCTTCCTCAGGGCAGTGACCGAGTGAGGAAGCCTGCGACATGTCAGGCGAAACGTCGGCCTCCCAGCCAACGACGCGGCGTCTCCCGCATAGCCGAGAATTTATGGATTCGAGCCGCGGAAGCTTACGTGTATCCATCAATTGATTCACTACAGTGCTTCTGACCGGGAGGTTCCCAACCCAAAGATGGCAGGATTTTCGACACTAGCTATATATCTAGCTCACGTTCAGCCGCTGTCTGAGGGAAAATTCCTGAAGCCGCTGCTCTGATCGGTAGTTTTCCGTGGGTCACGGACCGCTTGCGATCTTTCCTTCCTCTTCCTTATACTATCCTCACTTCTTATTTACACACACATGCATACAGCACTAAACTGCCGCACACGTCGGAATATCAGTTGGGAAGTTATATCTTGTCCTGGCTGGGGCGGTGCTCGACTGGTGGGAGATACATGGTTGGGGAAAACACACAGGTCAGCGCTGGATCTCGATATCCAGCGAGGAAACATAAGAGTTGGTGCTCAGAATTACTAATGAATCGATCAATAACAATATTGAACTTTCATGTTCATTTCCATTTTCATGCACCAGTTTGCGACATAAAACCATCATCACATTGTTACAAGCCATTGAAACAGATATGTGAAGCATTATTTAACTATTGTATCTTTTATTTCAACAAAGCTTCACCGTGTTAATTTTGCTTGGTCACCGTTGACAATTGTCACTTTATACCTCTTTCAAACCGTTATTCTCTGGCACTGTTTGCTTGCCGCGCCTCATGGTGGCCAGCGACGTGGCTTTTTGATACGTGTTCGATTTGCCGGTCACGTGGTTCGTGTCTTATCTGGTGCTCTGCAGAGCGAGCAAAAATCGGAGTAGCACCTTCATTTCCTTGCATCATCCTACCACGTGATTCAAGTAACATTCTCACATCTCCGGATTTCATCGCGATTTTAAGTGAACAGTTGCAAATAATAATAATAATTATTATTATTATTATTATTATTATTATTATCACAAATAAATCAATCGCCCGCACTCATACCTGTGATAAGAGCTTCATAATGGAACACTTGTTCTTATGGATTTCAAAAACTCTTTTTTTATCCGAAAGTAATAAAAATTACAGGATTTGTAAAAATGACTGAAAACATTTATTATAATTATTAGTTTCTAAGAATTTTAAAATGTGTTATAAAAACAATTTTATACTTAACCAACTAAAAACAATTTCCCACTCATTAATAAAATAATCGAAAGTATTCAGGTAAAACACATTCCGAGTCTTGTTAATGTCATTAATATGAAATAAAAATGGCTTTGGGGCCAATGCAAATAAATCGAATGATACACGCCAGATATAACATCAAAATTAAATTCGTAAAGCACAGCTTGTACAACGCCTCGTGGGCAAAATAGAACTCTGTGTGCCTATACATTGTATCTCATTGTATTAACAATAATCTATGTTACAGAATGATTAAGGTTGTTTGGAGGACACAACCATAGCTAACCCCTATTATATATCCAGAAACGTACCTTTTTGAGTGAATCAACACCGCCAGCCTCTAGAAGAAGACAGTGCCTTCTTCGATTAGCATCGCCTTATAACCCTGCTATCTAATCAGCAACTGTAAGATGATACACAATTGCTTTACACATGCTTAAAACGTGTTGCTATTCCATTACGTCAATAGTGTTGGCTTCAATTTGCCCATTCCAGCCATTATTAAGAAAGGGCTCGATCACTGAGGAGAGAGAGTTCACTCTGACACCCCCTCCCCAAGACATTGATATCACAGCAGTGCCTCTGACCAGGAGGTCCTAGGGTTCTGTCGCTGTCTGGAGGAGCATTCTAGGGGACGGCTGGTCTGATTGGATAGATCGTGATTTATTCCATCAACGCCAGATGAATGCCGGAGCAGTATCCTAAAAAACGGGGCTCGGAGCGCGCGCGGTCTTTCCTTCCTCTTCCTTCTCATAGCCTCTCCCCTTACTCTCAAACACGTACATTTGCATGCACTAAACGAGCACACATGCCGGGAGCTTAGAACTTGTCCCGCGTGGAGTGGTGTGCCGCTGGTGGGAGATGCCTGGTTGGAGGAAACCCTGTTAGCCGACGGTAAGTCGGAGCCGGATCTCACAATCCACCGGTCACCGCCACCTCTCGAGGGAAGCACATGCGCCACACTTACGGGACTAATGACCCTGGTAGTTGACGTGCCCGGAAACACCAGTCTATGAACCGTACCTTGCGAGTCGGGCGCTGTCGCTTCGCCTCCCGTCTTCGCCGCCCAGCAGCCACAGCTCTGCCGCCGCCGCAGCCTTCACACAAGGCCCCCCCTCCCCCTCCCCCTCCCCCTCCCGGGCGAGAACGCGAGGGGTTAGCGGGGTTACGAGTGGAAATTGCACCAGAGCAGAGCTGTCAGGGCCTCAGATTGCCAGGCGTCGCGTCGGCGTCAGAGTCAGCCAATTGGGGCAGACGCAGCGCGTCCTGTGACGTCATCTGCGGCGCCTCACCCACGTAGCCTCTGCTTCTGCGGGGGCCGAGACGCTGCCGCGTTGTCTGCTACTTTTCGTACCTGCGCAGAGTGATGGCTGCCGTTAATCTTAAACAATTATTACTCGATTAATTGGAAGCAAACAATCCGTTTACTTAACGATATATTTGTTTGTATTTCAATTAAATTGAAAGGAAAAATAATCGATTAATTTCCTTATAAGTTAAAATCTCTTCATAAATAATTTAATTTCCTGAGTTTTTCCGCACTTACAGTGTCGTAGAATTCCTTGTCTATAACGGGTACTGCGTACGCAGTATACAGTAAGTATTGTAATGCTGCGAGGAAAATGGAAAGCGGCGAGGAATTTGGACATAAAAAAACTCTTATTGCCGGGCCCTAGTAACGAAAATGGAAACATCTTGTTCCTGTATATGTACTAAATTACTTCTTCTAGTACGTTGGGCCGTCAGAATCCATGTTTTGGGGGTCCTTAATACCGAAATCGTTTGACGGCAACACACCTTGCTGTAGGTGCGTCCGCCCGTCTGTCCGTCGAAAATCGCAAACAAGTTAGCGTTGCAAAAGTACAATATTGACTTCATTTAATGAATAGTGTGCTTCAAAATTAGATCTATAAATAAAGCAATGTACATTTAAAAACTGGCACTATTATAATCGGTTAGCACAAAAACAAATATACCACTCTTTAGGACATTTTAATTGCCAATTAATTACGCCAAAAATATTTCAATTACTCTTCAAATTTTTGCAAAATTACACTGTACAATAGGGCAGAGCCGTCATGACCAGGCCGGCAAAATACTAGGGCGACAAAAAACTATAATTCTTATTTAACACTGTTTAACAGTTTTTTTGTCTCCCTAGTATATTGCCGCACTCGTAATATATATATATATTATATATATATATATATATAAAACACTTCGGGAATACGTTAATGGTGGAGAGTTTTTTAATTATTTACGATTATTTAAAAAATAGAAGTTTTCATGTAGTTTCTGTTTGAAGTGACTGTAATTTATAAAAAAAACAATTCTCAAAAAACTGCCCCAATTTTTTCATTCCTTTTTTTAAGATATAGAACGCTTAAAAATAGTGCAAGACTCATTTTCGGTGAACTTTCTGATTTTTTTTAAAAATTGTTGTGTCGACACGCAACGCGTCTTCTCTGAATTCTTGTTAGACGTTGAGCGCCTAGCATAGAGCAATCCTCCGTTATTGTCAAGTCTCGTCACGTCGCAGTCAATCTGTGCCTTTTATCCCTTTGGCCAGGGGCTCGGGGCCGTTAGATCCCGGAGTTCCCAGAAGGTCACCCGACCAGGAACCCGCAAAGTCTTCAATTGCTTTAGGCTAAATGCACCGAAAAATACTTGTAGGAAAATTCAATAGATCGTAGCACTATCACAGGGGAATTTACTTTACTGATAACGTCTGAACCAATGGTCCGATTTTCGATTTGTAAACGGCATTTGAAGACTTTTTAAAATAGAATTTACGCTACGATGACATTTTTGCAAAAATGTAGCAAAAACGCGAATTTGAAAGTAGTTCTCAAACTTTCAAGAACAAATTTAAAAATGTGGCCTTACAGCGCGATGGCGACATGCTTTCTGAATCCAACGCCGTGACAATCATGCAAATCGGACGAATAGAAACGTCGTAAGTGAAATTTACGAAAACACCTCGCCCCCCCCCCCACTTCTTCTGCGCCGTTGCATCACCCACCCGCCCGTCGTGGGCCCTCTGTCAGCGCGGCGGCACGGCCAGGCCCGGCGGCGTGCGACCAGACCCGACGTAGGAGGCGGTACTTGCGGGACACGCAAGCCACACAGTGGGTTTATGCGTTCGTCACTTTGCATCTCAATCTATTTTTCCATGGATATCAAACTAGAGATTCTATACTACTATTACAGACCGAAATAAACGGCCTGTAATAGAAGTACATAAATATCTTTTTCACATATTTCCGTCTTGCTTCGAATACCATATTAACATTTTTTGATGCATTACTCAAAATATTGATTCCGATTTTTAACTATTCTTTTAAAAAAGGAACTAATTGTGTAAATATCAGCATTATTTCATCTCCTCACATCTTATTTTAGATTTATTTTATTTCTAAGGTCTTCTGTTATCACTCCACCTTGGTCTAAGATCTTCCGTTGTCAAATACCGTAAAAAATGAGCGGAGTATACGCACGAGATCTTTTATCCTACAACTCGATTTTTGATCTCAAAACGTTTATCTGCTTTAAAGAGTTCATCTGGTGAATCTCTTTTCCCAAGTAAAATAGCAGAAGCTAATTTTAAAA